CCTGGCGAAACGTCAGGAAACAAAACTTCAAGAACACAGCCACACAGCCCGGAAGACCCACACCAGCCATCGTATGCCAGCCGTGAAAGCCTTCGACAATACATTCATATCCAAGGTCAGAGGGCTGCCTTCAACCACAGAGGGAAAATCCAAAGAGTCCTATGGTGTATTGCATAATGTCCCAGTTTCCGTATACTGTAATTTCACTCTGAATGTGCAAGTTGTTTCAATTTGTTCTGTTGCACAGAAAAAGTCTGGATTGGTAAAATGGCATTGCTGGCATATAATGATGTCTAATTTAAGATTGGTTTCCAGACTCTTGGGATTGATGAGCACAACTGAAAGTCTGAGAGTGTGTTGCAGTAACTCTCAGCGTACTTTTGTCTTTCTTTTTCCAAGTAGGTGGGCCTATTAATAAACAAAGAATCAGTCTTTAGTCTCTAGTCATTTTTATTTTGTAAGAATATCTCCAAGATGTGGTGCCTAGAAGACTCTTTAAATAAAGATGATGCTTGAGGTGGCAATTGGCTTTGAATTATGCTAGCTTGTCTTTTGTTTTTTGGAATTTATATAATCTACCAAAAAAAAAAAAAAGCTGGCAAGAAAGGTTATACTAGGAACATTGATAACCCAGACACCAGGTGGAAAACCCAGGATATAAAATGGTAAGTAGGTGAATGAGCCAACTATGTTATGGATTATGTTAGTAGATCTCATGTTATGTTAGTTAATAAGTACACCATTATTTGGTAACATATAGTGTCCTGCCAAACAGTGGAGAAAATGTTGCTATTTTCCCATTTCTACAGATTGTTAGGTCAAGCACAATTATATTGTTTTTATATACCGTGAAAAATTATCACCTGGTAAATGTCCACCTGTATTTGTATATTAATTTGACTCGTTGAATAGTCCATTATTTTTGGTTTACTATGCATAAACCTACATTCCAAATCTATTTTGGCTGGAAGAACACCAAAGCCTTTTTTTTAAAAACTCCCTGAAGTTAACGATTGAGAAAATGGTGGAAATGAAATGTTTCATAGGAAACCTTTTCAACAATAAAAAAAAAAAGAACCGCCTAGATTTATTTCTGGACGTGGCAAACATTTCAATTGCTATGTGGTATCCATGGTTTGATTTGCTTACTTTTGGTCTAGTATCATGTGTGAAATACCTGTTATATCTTAAGGTTCTTCATGAAGATTATATTCAATTTCTTCAACAGATCATGGTTTACAAGTCTCAGTTTGATCTTATGTAGCACGTGCATATTTTTATCAAATAGTTTCATAATAATAAGGAATGTCTTTCGAGACAGAAGCAAGGCACAGAGTATGAGTTCTCTAACATCATTATAACTATATAACAAAAATCTGATTGTAGTATGAATTGTTAGCTAGTTTAATAGAATGGAGCAAAAGGAGATCTGAACTGAAACCACTAAATCTATGAAAACTGCCCTGCCATCTAGTGGCCGAAGAATGCTTCTTTATATGTGATTGTCAAGGAAGAATTCCTAACAACCTTAGACTCTGTGTGTGTGCGTGTATTTTAAAGTAAATAAGATTGGAATGAAATATATATATATATATTCCTGATGTGGAGAGTTACCCTATGTATGATGGCTTATAGATGACATAGCATGAGGAAAGGCACAGAAATACAAAGGAGGACAAAAAGCAAAGCCACCTGTTGACCTTGGAGAGAAAGGAGATAGATCACAGAAACCCCTCCTTTCTCTTTCCTTTGGTGTGAAGGGAGGCAGTATATGAGCACAATGAACGCCACTATTTATGGTACATCGTGTAAGTATCTGTAATTGGGGCGGGTTAAAGTCCCATTAGTAGAAAAGAATGTAGAGCTGCTGGGATAACCATAGTAAGGTCATCTTACAATGTTATCAGATGTTACATTCCAACTGTAAAGGTCACAGTATGATTTACATTGCTTTATTATTCCTATGTAACATCTCTTGGTGGTGGGAATGTATATAACCCATATCCTTGCTTGGTTTGGGGCTGTTTTGCATTCTTTTGGCTGGGAGCCCAGTGATCACTATAGTTGTACATGCCAATAAAAGATATTTGTTGCATCTGTCTCCAAATGTTTGATTCCTTATTGAAGTAGGTGTTTTCCCTCACAACACAGATTACATTTTTTTTAAAAAAATTGTCCATTGGTGAACTGTTCATAGGTCTTGGTTAGATTTAGGGTAAACAGATTGTAAGGCTCAGGTTAATAGTCTTCTTAAAACTGGCATGGCTTTGGGGTGAAGATATGGGGGAAAAGTGAGGACATTCTCATTGCTTCTGATATAAGTTCTACTTTCTGTACCTTGGAAGGTTCAAAGTGTAGAAAGATTGACAGGAGCATTTCTTTAGTGGTTTTCTTTTCAAGAAAAATTCCATCTCAGAGAAAGAAGAGGGTTTTCTTTTTTTCAGTTCTCTCTCTTATGCAGCTCAATAATCAAATGTAGAGCTGCTGATGGCTGGAGAATAAAAATAATTAAGAATCAGTTTCATAACAAACCCTTAACTTTAGCATGGCCAAAAAAAAAAAAAAAAATCACTGTCCTGCTTGTTTAAGCCAGTCTTGGACATTATTTAACACTCCTCCCCTCCCAAAAATGCAGGTGGGGCTGAAGGAAATTCAGGCTATAGGTGATAAGAATCTCCCCTCTGGAACTGGGATATTCTCTGTTCCATTACGTGTGTGTGTGGGGGGGGGGGGGGAGAGCTGAACTGAGGCCATGGGAGAGCTTTGGATTTTATAAATTCAAAGCCTACCTCAATACAGCTGTAGCATGTCCACTTCTTAATGTTACCCTCAATGTAGCCCCAGTCAATAGTTGCCAGTAGTTTCATGGGTGAATCTCTTCTTGAATCTCCCTTACTGTGGCCAGAGAATCCTCTGAGAAGCTCTACTAACCACACTAGGATTGCAACCTATCAGCTTGCACCCACAATTTGTCTATGTTGGTCCAGTGGATTATATATCAAAATAACTAAGATATTTAAATAACCCATTTTAAACTGTCCCAGTGCGAGATTGTTAGCAAAGGCTAGGAGCATGAGATGTATTTTCCCCCACTTTACTTACCCATTAAATATTAATATAATCTCTGGGAGCACTAAGTAGCTATTTGTAAAACATTTTTAATTTTAATGTCAAATGAAACAAAGCATTTTGTGTTCATTTTAATGAACATCATAAATCTGTGGAAGGAATCTAATACTTATATCTTCCAGTTCCAGAAGAGATATCTAGAGCTACAAATACTTAATCACAGTCTCTACAGATACAACAGTTGTTCTGAACTGGCCTAGAATCAGTCTCTTATATCACCCACCTGTCAGCAACTTAGTCTCCAGAGAGACATTAAAGGAAGTTCTACGTATAGACCCAACTGTTTGAGTTTATTAGCCTTTACTTAAGCATATTGTCAATAAAAGAATCTAATTTATAGCTATAACATTTTCTAATGAGTCTTTTTATTTTGTAAGTGGGTTTAAATCGTTTTTTTCACTGAGGCATGGCAAATCAGCCCAAACAACTCAAAATATAAATAAGTTTACACATATATGGAATTATTAAAATGTTTTTTAATGT